CGCTCCACCTCGGCCCGGCGCTCTCGCTCCCGAGGGCAAACCTCTCCCAGCCAGGCGAGCAGAGAAACGCGGCCCTGCCTGGCTGCCACTTCCCCAGCGGCCGGGGGGGGCGCGACAGGAACGAGCCTCCCGAATGGCTACCTGCCCCAAAGCCCAATCAACCCACCCCGCGTAGGGGATGCTGCAGGCTGCACCGGGCCAGCTCGCAGGGGGACGGGGGAAGCAGCCGCTTCGTGGGTTGTGGGGCTGGAGCGGCGCACTCACTTCGCTCCCCATCGCGCCCTGCCTCAGTGTACCGCAACCCTTGGTCCTCGGGCGCTCGCCGGCTGCTGGTTTCCCCAGCGAAGGAGGGGGTCAGGTGGTAACGGGCAGGAGCACGGAAGCAGACTCCCCTCCCCCGGGGCTGGGCTCTCCCGTTTGGGAGGGGAGGGCCGGGGACATGGGGGGGGGGGGGTGTACAATGCCCCAGCCCTGCGCGGGGGAGAGGGGGCCCCATGGGAAGGCAGGAGTGCAGAGAGCGGGGGCAGGGCAGCTGGCAGGGCTGGGGGCCCCATGCCCTGGTACCAGGCAGCGCCGATCCGCTCCCCAGTCCCTTTCCTTTGCAAGCGTCCGGGTGGCTGGGCCTGGCCGGCGTGGGCCGGGCGGGCGTTACTGGGAGGCCTGCGACGTGGGGTTCTCCGACTTGCTCTCCTGGCTGGAGGGCGGCTTGCTGTTCCAGGGGCTGTTGGCGCCCAGCGCGGGCGAGTTGTTGAAGCTGTCCTCGTCGTCGATGCCGTTGGCGGCGTCGAACTGCGTGTTCTCCAGCCGCGTGATGAGCCGCTCGTCCTCGTCCCCGAACTCGCCCCCCATCAGCGTGGGCTCGCCCACCACCATCACATCCTGAGAGGGGAGACGGTCCCGAAACATAATCGAGGCGGAGGCAGCCCCGGCCATCGGCCCCCCCCTCAACAGGATGGGGCTCCGGCCCCGAGCGCCCCCGCTCTCCCCACAGCCCCTCTCCCACACCCCAGCCCCACGCTATTTCCAGCGGGGTCCCGGCGTTACCTGCTGGGCCTACGACCTCCCCCCTCCCGGGTCACTGCTCCGTCGCGGGCTGGGACCCCCACGCAAACGGGAATCGCTGTGCACCAGCAGGACCGCCCCGGGCCCAGCCTGGGATGCCACGTGGCCCCGGAAGGGTACGGCAGGGAGCTCTGCCCCAGCGCGTCCCCCCAGCTCCGGCCTGATGCGGGGGAACTGGCGGTCGGGGGCCGGGACATGGACGGTTCCTGCGCATTCAGCCCCCTGGAGACGGGGCTCTATGGGCCCGGCCTGGGCGAGGGCTCCGGGGGCGGCTCGGCGGGACGGGACATGGACGGTTCCTGCACATTCAGCCCCCGGGAGACGGGGCTCTCTGGGCCCGGCCTGGGCGAGGGCTCCGGGGGCGGCTGGGCGGGACGGGACATGGACGGTTCCTGCGCGTTCAGCCCCCGGGAGACGGGGCTCTATGGGCCCGGCCTGGGCGAGGGCTCCGGGGGCGGCTCGGCGGGACGGGACATGGACGGTTCCTGCACATTCAGCCCCCGGGAGACGGGGCTCTCGGGGCCCGGCCTGGGCGAGGGCTCCGGGGGCGGCTGGGCGGGACGGGGAAGAGAAATGGAAACGGGATGCTTACAGGTACCTGACTGGACAGGGCGAAGGTGCTGGCCGGACTCTTCTTCTTGCTGTTGCTGTTGTTCGCGTTGCCGCCGCTGGAGCTCATGGTGCTGCCCCCCGACATCTTCCGTTTCCGGCGCTTGCTGGGCTGCTGCCGCGCCGGCTCGGCTGGGGGGGGAGGAGGCCGTTAACCAGGCTGGGCTGGAGCGGGAGGGGGGCCCCGGCCCGCCCCTTCGCTGGCTCCCCATCCTCACGCCGAGGAGCCCTGCCCAGCCCCTGCGCCCCACGGCACTTGCTCCGGTTCTCAGACCCGCTGCTCAGCTGGGAACGGAACCCAGGAGTCCTGACGCCCAGCCCCTTGCAGCCCACGCGGCTCCCTGCCAAGCACCCTCAGGCCATGCGCACACGGCACCGACCCCCCCAGGGGCTACGGGCCCTGGGGTCTCACCTGGCGGCGCCACCATCCGCTGCCACTTCTGGAACAGGCAGGTCTTGAGGCAGTCGCGGGGGCTGAGGCTGTAGGTCTTGTGCCGCGACATCAGCTCCTGCATCGGCTCTAGGATCACGCAGAGCTGGGGGGGGAGGGGATTCAGCGTCCGCTGCCCAGCGCGATGCCACCGCTGCATCCGAGCCAGCGCCCTGGGACCCCGGGGCCAGCCACAGAACGCCCCCTCCCCCAGCGTCACACAGGGCCCCACCCGCACCCCCCTGCCCTGCCCCACGTATCCCCTCCGCCAGACCCCCACCACAGGGGCCGGGCTCTGGACCGTCCCCCAGGCGGGTGGGTCTCCCCGGGGCAATAACAGGCCACCAAACACTGGGAGGTCCAGGGGGGCATGACATGTCCTTCAATGTGCACAGCTCATGAATATGCATTGCCATATTTGCATAACTACTCCCCCACCCCTTCAGGTCCCCCTCTCCCTGCCCACAGGTCTCTGCCCAGCCAGCAACAGTCTACCACGGTGGTGTCTAGGGCTGGGGGCTTTGCTCTCCAGGCAGGACTCCTGGGGTCGCAGGGCAGAGTCCTAGAGCCGCCCCCCAGGGCGATAACCACAGAGCCCTCAGGCAGGAAGAATCTGGGGCCCCCTGGCGACAGAGCCGAGCCCCCCCCACACGTACCCGGAGGTAGTTGAGGGTGGAGTTGGAGAGCCCGCAGCGGGTGATGTTCTTGGATAGCTGGTCCAGCATCTGGGGGTCCTGGGCCTAGAGTGCAGGGGGACAGGGACACCTCAGCCGCGCTCGGGCTGGGAACGGCAGCCAGACAGCCCAGCCCCCCGCCCCACCTGAACTCTGGTCTGCCCGGCCTGTGCACCCAGGGAACCCAGGCTGGTCCCTGCAGGTCTGCAGCCCCCGGAGATTCGCATGGTGAAGAGACAGCTGAGCAAGCAGCGTCACAGTACCCACGCCTATGGCCCCGGGGGTGTGTGTTTGGACTCCTGCCCCCAGCCACGCCGCAGCCCTGCTGGGGCCCTGGGTCAGCCGCACGCCGGGCGCCGCCGGCACAGAGCCAGGCACTCACGTGCATGGCGAGGATGCTGCGGGGAATGAGCTCTCGATGCTGCCGGATGCTGAAGTGCCACGTCTTTATCCTCATCATGTCGTCGAACATGAACTCCAGGTAGAGCCGCCCCTCCACGCACACCTGGGGGGGACAGGCTGTCAAACCCTAACGCCCGAGAGCCAGCCGAGCTCGACCCCTCCCGGCTCTGAACTGCTGCTCCCCTCCACGTGGATAAACCACCCCCGGGCTCCCACCCAGCGAGGGCCATTCAAGCCTGCGCACCCGCCTGCCTCCTCACCCACGGTGCCAGCAGACAGGCCTCCCACTCTGCCAGCCTGCAGCCCCAGACAGACTCCAGGCTGGCACCTGCTGGCCCCCCTTGCACCAGCGCCTGCCCCCCTTCGCCCGAACACGCTCCGACCTGCCAGCACCTCGGGCTGCAGGGCAGGCGCAGCCACACGGGGTGCCCAGGCTGGTACGTCGGCAGCTCCCAGGAACCCCAGATACCCTCTCACACTGGTAAGTACTCGGCGGCTAATCGTCTCCCGAGGGCCAGCACCGCCGCGGTGCCCAGAGCCAGGCCCGGGATGGGCTCTCCAGCCCTGCAGTACCTGCGTGAACATGGGCTTGCCGTGCTGGGTCACCATGGTGCACTGGTCGCAGTCCAGCGAGACGAAGCTGTTGTGGAACGACTCCTTGGGGTGCTTGAGGACGTAGTACAGCTCCGTGGCACCCCCCTCAAAGATGCTGCGGAAGTAACGGGGAATCAGAGTCCGGCCGATGGCTGCAGCGGGGAGGGGAGAGAGGGAGGAAGAGAGTCAGCGCCCGGCTTCCCTGGAGCCCCGGCTCAGGCCAGGCGCTCACGGCTACCGCCCTGCCACCCCCCGTCCTCCAGCGCGATGGGCCGGGAGCCAGGCACTGAGGAACCCGGCTCACACGGCAGCCGTGGGGCAGAGGGAGCTGCCCTGAGAGGTGCAGGGTGGGCAGCCTGCAGGACGAGACGGCCCTGTGGCAGGAAGCCGCCATGGGCTCCCCGCCACTGGCGCCGCTTTGCCCGTTTCCCTGTCCCTGAGCTCATGCAGGCAGGGTCCTCGCCCCCGTCCACGGGACTGCAAGGTGCCCGTCACCGTAGTATCAGGGTCTGACACAGAGCTCAGCTCTGCCCCGGAGTAACCCTGGAGCCAAGCCCGGAACCAGCCCCAGAGGCGCAGGGCACAGACCCAGCGCGGCAGCCCAGGGGCCCGTCCAGCCTGGCCAGCACTTGGCATCGCAGACTGGCTGTAAGTGCCCAGGGAGCCGGCCCACGGCCACTCACTGTATCTCTTTGGTCCATCCTCCAGGCAGAAGGTGATCGTTAGCATGGCGTCGTCCTCGAAGAACTCCGTGGTGAAGGCGTCCCACCAGAGATTGTCACATTCCTGGGGGCGGGAGACGGGCGGTGTCACGGGGAGGGGAGAGAACCCGCCCTGCCCCGCCGGGGGGCCTGGGACCCTCCATCCTGGCTGGGCTGAGACCGGCTCGAACGCCCACGGGCCACTGGGGCCTGCCAGTCACTCGCAGGGGCTCTGCCAGTGTAGACACAGGCTGTGTGGCCACGGCCCAGCAGGCAACACCCCACCCTGAGCCAGCCCCCAGCAGGAGGGAGCAGGGCCAGCGCAAAGGGGCCGGGAGAGGGCATGAGGCTACCCATGAGCATCCAGGGTCCCACACTCCCCTCCCCAGCCCCGCCACACACCTCTGTCCAGTTCTGCAGTCGCTTGTTCAGCTCAAATATCCTGTAGTCGGTCTGGTTCCCGTACGGCGTGTGCCTCCTGACAAGCAAGCACAGCACGGCCTCTCAGCGGGGCCC